TCTTTGGTTCTGGCAGGCCGGGGACCATGTCTTTTAGCGAACTCTCTCACTTGCAGGGTGAATGGTCCGATCGTAAGGGAAGCTTCGCCGGTCATGCGGTGGGCGAAGGCTACTGCTGAACATGTGAAGTTTATCGCAGAGAGAGTTGCCTTGTTGTTGAGCGCATGGATGAGATACAGCGCTAGCGTCAGGTCGGTTGCCGGTAGGAAGTCGAGCTTAACTTGGGTACAGAAGGTGCGAAATCTCTGCCAATAAGGTTGGTACGTCTCGATTGTAGATGGTGCGCGAACGTGGCTAATTACGTGCATCAATTGTTGCTTTAGTTTGGCCAAAAGTCCTGAAATGACACATTAATGAAATTTATTAGATTGCATAGTTTACACGTAAAGCAATGATTGGGCTATGAGGCAATCCGAGACCAGAAAATGTAGCGGTGTGTGAACCTGCCCGAAGGCATTGGCTGCCTTGGGCAAGGGCAAGGTGTGCTACTTCAGCCGGGGCCCACGCGTGGGTGGACGGTTGGAGAAGCGGCCACCATGACGCTCCGGTCCACTGGGGAACTACCAGCGTGAGTTCCGCCTGCGTGAGTTCGGCATGGCGGAGTGTGGCGGGGACTAAGTGTGGCGGCGGGAAGGCAAAGCATCGCTCGCCTTTCCAAGAAATGGAAAATGCATCGACGGCGAACGCATCGGGATGCGGTATCTTGGAGCAGAAGCGCTGGAGTTGACTGTTCCGGGCGTTAGCAAATAGATCAATCGTGTGGGGCCCCCAGCGACGTTCTAGGAGGCGAAACCAAGGTGCGTGTAGGGAGTAGTCGTCATGATCTTGCATCTTGGATAGGTCATCCGCCTGGACGTTGAATTCTCTCGGAATCCATTCGATCACGAGGCGTGTGGTGTTGCCGAGACAGAACTGAATGATCGCTTGGCATGTCAGCATAAGGTCCGCCTGACGGGATCCCCCCTTGCGCAGGATGAACATAACTGCCTGGTTGTCCACCCGGACGAGGACGTGAGCGCCTGCAATCTGTGTTGCGAACGTCTGCAGTGCCCAGAGCACTCCCTCGAGCTCCCGCCGTGTACTGGATGTGGGTAGGAGCTCGCGTGGCATGCATTCGCTAGCTTCACATGATGCACTTGGGTACTTGGCCAAGGTGGCCCCCCAGCTGTGAGCGCTTGCGTCGACATGGATCACGGCATCAAACCGCTGACTCTGGTGGAATGGGGCACCATTGAAACGATCGAAGTGGACTGTCCAAAACAACAACTCCTCCGTCGCTCCTGGTGACAATGTAACCTTCGCGTTCCAAGACCACGCGGAGTCGATCAAGTGCAGCAGCTCATGGCTGAAGGCACGCGTCGTCGTACCTAGTGCGAGCGACATGGAGCTGAGAAATCCTGTGATTCGGGCTATCTTACGAACCGGCACTTGTCGACCCGATTGCCCTTTTTTAACGAGGAGGTGGAGCTCTTGCAGGAGTTGCTCGCGCCGATCGTCTCTGATAAGGAACATCCCTCGTTTCGTGTCGAGCTCCATCCCCAAGAAGCGCAAGTGGTGTGTCGGATGCAGGTTTGACTTCTTAGAATTTATCACAAATCACGCCACCTTCAGGTCTTGGAGAACTTCGATGCACGTCGAACAGGCTCGCGTCTCGGAGTCGCACAAGAATAGTAAATCATCCACGTATGGTATTACGCGCACTCCGCGCGCGCGCCATCTCTTGGCTAGTTGCTTAATAAGCTGGGTGAAGACGAACGGGGCTGTTGCCAAGCCGAAAGGTAAGGATGTGAAGCAATAGCACTTGCCATCCAGTTGAAAGCCCAAAAAACCTCCAGCATGATGAGTGGATTTCGACATGGTGGTAGCCTGACTTCAGATCGATGGTGAACATCCAATCATTTGGGCGAATGATCTCCGCGACCCGACCCAAGCCCTCGTACTTGAACGTGGGAATTTGGAGGTGAGCGTTGACCTTCCGCAGGTCAAGAATGAGACGGCATTTGTCTCTTTGCTCGACAACATTGAGCGAGCTAATATATGTCAGTGCTTCTTTCGACGAGACCTGTACCGCGGCTCCTGACGCAATGAGGTCGCTGACAGCGCCTTGGGTGAAAGCCATGTGTGCGTGAACCCCTGCGTGATTGAGGGCTTCGAAGGGGGGTGGCTCCGCGCCCTTCCATGGTAGCCAGTACCCTTTAGCGATGATGGAAAGGATAAAACTGCTGTCACACCACGATAGCCACCAGTGGAGGCTGTTCCGCAACCGCCTTCGCATGATGGATACCATGTTGTCCGTTATTGCATGCTCGTATGGGTCCCAGTGAGCGTCTTGCCACTCGCTTTCGGCTTCTGCAAACGGCGGGCAACCGAGGTAGTAGGGGGGAGCAAGAACCAGGGTCAATTAGACGCGAGAGATGGCGGGACACTTCGCGGGGCAAACTATGTCGCTCGTCTTTAGCCTCCTTCGCTCGTCCCCACACCCCCATTTTTTTTTTTTTTTTTTTTCTAATGCACTTCCCTTCACCACTCGTTGGCCATGACGCTTTTGCATGGGTTTTTTTTTTTTTTTTTTTTTTTTTTTTTTTTAGACTTGGAAGTCGCCTTGCGATAAGATCGGTGCATGTGCATCCCTTGGTCTCACGACCTATCGGTGCATGTGCATCCCTTGGTCTCTCTCTCTCTCTCTCTCTCTCTCTCTCTCTCTCTCTCTCTCTCTATCTCTCTCTCTCTCTCTCTCTCTCTCTCTCTCTCTCTCTCTCTCTCGCTCTCTCTCTCTCTCTCTCTCTCTCTCTCTCTCTCTCTCTCTCTCTCTCTCTCTCTCTCTCTCTCTCTCTCTCTCTCTCTCTCTCTCTCTCTCTCTCTCTGTTTTTTGGCTTTTCTTTCTTCAACACTTATTTCATAATTTACACCTAGCCAAGCTTCCTTCATGGCTGCCTTCCTTGGTGATGGGCTTGCTTGTGCCTTCCTTCCGTCCTCTTGTTGTTGTGTCTTCATTTTGTTTTTTTTTTTTTTTTAATCAATCAACTTTTATTATTCCACACAAAGGCATACAAGCCTAGGCCTACGCCCAATCCAGCCCCTACGGCTAAGCTACTCCCCAAGGCTTCTAACCAGCCTACGCACCACAGGTGCCTCCACCTACGCCCCCCGGCATAGTGGCAAGGGGCGCCGCCCCATGGGTCCTCTCACACCACGGGTGCGGGGCCTTGTGCGCCACGCCCTCCCATAGGGCAATTGTTTGCCATGTGTCCGGGCTGGCCACAACGGAAGCACACTCCCTTGAAGCGGGGCTCGTGGCAGCCCGCGGGTGGCATGCCCTTGCTTTCCGGTTCGCCATCTCGAGGGGGAAGGCGGCCGCCGTGGTTGAAGCCGGTGCGTGCACGCTTAAGGGCCGCCACGTCGGCTACCGCGAGCTTGTAAGAGCGCGACGTGAGTACGCTCTTGGCTTGGTAGAGCTGGAACCGATCCGCCGCCTCAAAGCCGGCCTCGTCCGCCACCAAGAGCACCTCGAAGCGTTTGTTGATTAGCGTGTCGACTTGCGCCACGTTGGAGAGCGCGCCCTCGACGTCGCTGTTGCGGAGCTTGAACTCGACGTGCCTCAGGTGAGCTTGAATTGCAGAAAATACCTCTGCCTGATCGCGCACGCCTTTGCGCATGAAGGTAGTAGCTGCGGGTGACGGATTAAGGGAAGGGGGGGAGCGGGTGCAAAAATGCGACGGCGGGCAAGGTTGTCGGGGGCCTCACCGTCGTCATTATCCGAGTTGTCGCTGTCGTCAATTGCGGGAGCTTGGACTGGTTCAGTAGCCGGGGCGGGCGCAGGAGCAGCGGTGGTGGCGCGAGCGGCCTTGGTGGTGCGAGTTGCGACGGCTTCTTTCTGCTTTTCCGTTTTTACGGACGCAGAATTATAGTCAGTCGAAGTTGCGATTGTACCGGGCGCCTGCTGCTGCAATATCGAGAAAATCGCCTGCAGCTGCTGCGCAGTCAAAGGGGGGGGGCGTTGACTTGCGTGACGTCAGCCGAGGGTGCCGCGCGCTGGCATTTCTGGGTCGTGGGCCCGGGTTGACCCGCGTCAGCCGCGGTCAAGACGGCGGTGTTAAACTGTATTATGCTTGTAGGCTGTAGTGGGGTAGCCAATATGGGGTACAACCCCAACTAGGGTTTCATATTTGTACCCAAACTTCTGTTAGTTCATTCATTCTTGCCTAGTTATTCTGACATGGTATCAGAGCGAAGGTCTCGGGTTCGATTCCCGGTGTGTGCACTTCGGGCATCCCAGTGCGGGAGGGTGTCAGAGGTCCACTGGAGATCCCCGATGATCCTAGGGAAGGGTTACAGGCCCGTTGGCCTGGGGGGTTATGGGCGCACTCACCCGCTATATAAACAAGCCCTTTTATCCCAGTGGTTAGTGGCTGGGATTCTGACAGGCGGCCGCGTCAGCGGCCGTCGTCGTCTTCTGCAGGGCGCGTGCCTGCCTGCCGGGCACGCGCACTTAAGCCGCGCGTGTGTCTTCTGACGCAGCGCGAGGGGTGCCGCCGAGCAGAACTTCGACAGCCGAGGGTCCCTCGGCGGAAATTTCTTCGGAGCTCCGTGTGCCGCGGCGATCGTTTCCCCCGGCGGGAATTGAAGCTTCCCCCGCGTTAAAGCCCAAGACCTGAATTACTCAACGGAAGTCAACGCTAAAAACTAGGTTCGGGAGGCAGGCACGGAGAGGTTCGGTTGGGTTGCGAGAGACTTTCACTCGCGAAACCAATTTGCGACAAAAGTTTCTCGCTTCCCATGATGGGTGGGGTCCTTCCCACAACCAGAAAAGCGCGAGCACAGCAAACTGTGCACAGTTTGAGATGTCACGCTAAGTACTAGGCATAGACCATACTTGTAGACAGGGCAGGGCGTCAACGTTCACTCAACAGGGATCAGATGGGCCTTACGATGTGGGTGGCGCGGATTTCGATGATGACGCGCAACCCTAGTGTTCGCTGGGGGAAGTTTTTTGTGTCGAAATGCAGGTTATTGTGCAACTACTCCGTAGCGTAAACTCGTGGCGAAAATCGAATCGCCCAAACGTGAGCCCTCCCGTCGCCCTCGCTTTCCTTTCCCTCACTTCCGCTCTCTGTCGCCCGCGTCGTCGCTATCGCTTCCGCAGCTCGTCGCGTTCGCGACCCCGGCCCGTCGCCTTCGCTCCGCCCGTCGCCTTCACTCCCCCCCTCCCCCCCCTCTTCCGTTGCCTTCATCTCCCCCTCCCGTCGCCTTCACTTCCCCCTCTCGTCGCCTTCATTTCCCCCTCCCGTCGCCTCATTTCCCCCTCCCGTCGCCTTCATTTCCCCCTCCCGTCGCCTTCATTTCCCCCTCCCGTCGCCCTCATTTCCCCCTCCCGTCGCCCTCACTTCCCCTTCCCGTCGCCTTCACTTCTCCCCTCCCATGCCTTCGATTCCCCCTCCCGTCGCCTTCCACGCCTGCCGCACTCGCTTTCCCGCCCGTCACACTCGCTTCCCCACCCGTCACCTTCACTTCCCCTCCCATTGCCTTTCACTCTCTCCTGCTCCCTCTCTTCCCCCCTGCTCACTCTCTCCCCCCCCCACTCACTCTCTTTCCCCCTGCTCACTCGCTTCCCCCCGCCTCATTCTCTTTCCCTCTGCTCACTCCTCTTGTTCTCACCCCGCTTTCCCCATTTCTCACCCATTTTCCCCCGTCACGCTCTCTTTCTCTCTCTCCCCCCGTCGCCCTCCCTTCCACTCGTCGTTGCCCTCGCCATCCCGCCCTGCGCCCTTCCCATCGCGCACACTTGTCACGCCCCCATTCCAACCCGCACATACACCCTTCCCTTCTTCCCTGTTTCCCCGTATCCCCTGCGCTGCTTCCCACCATCCTCCGACTTGCTCCCCCCATCCCCTTCCCTGCGTCCCCCTTCCCCTCCCCTGCCTCCCCCCATCCCCTTCCCTGCTTCCCCCCATCCCCTTCCCTGCTTCCCCCCATCCCCTTCCCTGCTTCCCCCCATCCCCTTCCCTGCTTCCCCCCATCCCCTTCCCTCCTTCCGCCTGTGCCCTCCCCTGCCTCCCCCCATCCCCTTCCCTGCTTCCCCCCATCCCCTTCCCTGCTCCCCCCCGTCCCCTTCCCTCCTTCCCCCCGTCCCCTCCCCTGCCTCCCCCATCCCCTTCACTGCTTTCCCCCTTCCCCTTCCCTGCTTCCCCCCATCCCCTTCCCTGCTTTCCCCATCGCCTTCCCTGCTCACCCTTGCTCCCTCTGTTTCACCCTTGCTCCCTCTGTTTCACCCTTGCTCCCTCTGTTTCACCCTTGCTCCCTCTGTTTCACCCTTGCTCCCTCTGTTTCACCCTTGCTCCCTCTGTTTCACCCTTGCTCCCTCTGTTTCACCCTTGCTCCCTCTGTTTCACCCTTGCTCCCTCTGTTTCACCCTTGCTCCCTCTGTTTCACCCTTGCTCCCTCCCCTTCTTCTCTTCTCACTTTCTTCACCCTTGCTCACTCTCTATACTTCTGCTCACTCTGTTCCCCCCTGCTTCCTCTCTTCCCCTCTGTTCAATCTGTCCCCCGCTGCTTCTTCTCCTCCCCTCTGCTCATTCCGTTTACTGTCTTTCCCACTTCACTCACCCCCATATCCCCCAATGCAGTTACAGCTGCACAGCACCAGATGTGGCTTTACCACGGCCTGGTTTTTTTGCTTGCAGTGTAGCAGACTGGCAAGACAAATCAGGAAGCAACATCACACACACACCCCCTAGCTTTGTTCCCTTCTCGAGTTGGGTGATTCCCCTTACTTTACAGATACGGTACCGTAATATATTAATTATTGAACTCCTTGGTATTGGTCATATGTATGACCACTCTGAGGCTCATAATTCTGTATTATAAAAAAAAAAATCCAATACATGGCATGGGAATGAGAAAACGAGAGAAGGGAATGAGAAAACGAGAGGAGGGAATGAGAAAACGAGAGGAGGGAATGAGAAAACGAGAGGAGGGAATGAGAAAACGAGAGGAGGGAATGAGAAAACGAGAGGAGGGAATGAGAAAACGAGAGGAGGGAATGAGAAAACGAGAGGAGGGATCGCGAGAGGAGGGATAGGGGCAGGAGTTGGGGATGGGATGGATGGGGAGGAGGGAATGGGTATAGAAAGGATGGATAGCGGAGGTGGTGAAGAACAAACTTTTTGGCGAGGCGGAAGATGGGAAGATGGGAAGAAGCAGGGAGGAGAGGGGTCGGGTGGAGGTGACGGGGAGGTCGCGGGATGGGGTATGATTGTATGGTGGGATGGGAAAGTTGGCAGAGGGAATGATGGGATCGGGAAAGGAGGGATGGGGAAACGAGGGAATGGGAATGAGGAGTAGGATGGCATGGCGGAATGGGGTGGGGCGGAATGGGGTGAGGCGGAATGGGGAGATGAGGGATGGGGAGATGAGGGATGAGGAGATGAGGGATGGGGAGTTGAGGGATGAGGAGATGAGGGATGGGGAGATGAGGGATGAGGAGATGAGGGATGGGGAGATGAGGGATGAGGAGATGATGGATGGGGAGGTGTGGGATGGGGAGATGAGGGATGGGGATATGAGGGAAGGGGAGATGAGGAATGGGGAGATGAGGGAGGGGAGATGAGGAATGGGGAGATGAGGGATGGGGAGATGAGGAATGGGGAGATGAGGGAAGGGGAAATAAACGCATATGCGACAGAAGCGGAGAACGACTTGTCGGTCGAGGGGAGGGTGCGTGCGTGGGTGGCAGGAGGGGAATGAGCGAGCTCGTTCGAGGGAAGGGAGGAGATGGGGTGAGGAGGCGCTAAGGATTGGATGGATGGGAACAAGACGGGACGGAGGGAGGACGGGAGGAAGGGAGGACGGGAGGACGGGAGGAAGGGAGGACGAGAGGAAGGGAGGACAAGAGGACGGGAGGACGGGAGGAAGGGAGGACAAGAGGACGGGAGGACGGGAGGAAGGGAGGACGGGAGGACGGGAGGACGGGAGGACGGGAGGAAGGGAGGAAGGGACGACGGGCAACAGAGAGGGTAAAGAGGGTACTGAGGCAGAGAGATGGAGGAAGGGAGGAAGGGAGAGGGAGAGGAGGACGACTGTGGGGGAATGACCCCCGGCTCCCCTGCCCCGCCTCCCCCGCTCCCCTGACCCGCCCCCTGCAGCACTGCACTCCTTGCTGCCCGCCTGCACGCGCTGCCCTGGCTGTGCGCCCAACACTCTGCTCCAAAGCCTCATCACCACCTGCCATGCGTGCGAGGTTGGTGCGAGAGAGGGGAGGAGGTCAGTGCAAGAGAGAAAGGGGTGGGTGCTGCTGACCACGCACCCTTCCACACCCCACAGCGAACGAGTCACGACCCCATCCCTAGCTCCCAGCCCAGCCCGCCATACCTCCCCGTCCAGGGTGGGTGAGAGGCTGAGGGGGAGGGAGAATGAGAGAGAAGGAAATAAGGGTGCAAGGGTGGGGTGGTAACCATGGACGATGGTAGGAGTAGAGAGGGTGGCAATGGGGAGAGCGACCAAACGAGGCAATGGGGAAGGGACACAGGGGAAGCGATGGTGAAGAGGGGGAACGTGATAGACAGGGGAGTGATGACGACGCGGAGAGAGGTGGGAGGGAAGGGAGGGCGGCGGCAAGGCTAAGCGAGGGCGATGGGAGGGCAAGCGCGGGCGACGGTGGGGGTGGGCGAAGGTGGGGGGAAGCGTGGGCGATGGTGGGGGGAAGTGTGGGCGACGGTGGGGGGAAGCGTGGGCGACGGTGGGGGAAAGCGTGGGCGACGGTTCGGGAAGCGTGGGCGACGATGGGGGGAAGCTTGGCCGACGATGGGAGGAAGCGTGGGCGACGATGGGAGGAAGCGTGGGCGATGAGCGGGGAAGCGTGAGGGAAGGTGGGGAAAGGCGTGCGCGACGGTGTGGCGAAGCGTGAGGGAAGGTGGGGGAAGGCGTGAGCGACGGTGTGTTGAAGCGGTTATTTTTAGGAGTAAGGGCGACGGAGAAACGGGAGAAGCGAGGGCGACGGTACGTCAACGGGGAGGACGATGTGAGGGGAATTGAGGTTGAACCGCGACGTGGAATAATATGCGCTTTGTGGTCGGCAAAGCTTGGGATGAGGGTAGGAAGGAAGGGACGAGGCGGTAAGACGATGGGAGGTGGAGAAAAGACTGCGGATGAAGAGACGGCGGCGGCATGGGATCCACGACGTGGAAGGCTAGGCATGAGATAGGGACGGATCGGTGTGTAGCGCAACCGCGGCGTTTATCAACGGCGATAAGCTACGACCTCAACGCAAGACGGGATCTCTAGATTGGCCGTGTAGATACGCCTGGAGTTCTAAATGGGCCGTGGGATGACTAGGAAGAAAGGTGAAAGTGCTCGTGGCCTATGCATTAGTGGCTATTTATTCTATGCTCTCTGCATGGTCTAATCGTTCCGCATACTACGGGAATAGCACGACCTGAATTACCAAAGAAGGGCAAATTGTGCACATTTTGAGCTCTTGTTCCTTCAGGACGGTGTGGTAGGGACTCTCGCCAGCCAAACCCTTTCTGCTCTACGACTCTGTTTTTTAGCGCGACGTTTTCTGGTAACCAGCCTGGTTTGGGAGGTCAACTGTGGGTTCGGTAGGCAAACTGTGCACAGTTTGCCTTCCTTTTTTTGTAATTCAGGTCTTGGGCTTTAACGGGGCTTGAAGTAGTCGCGTTTGTTGGAAACAGTGAAACTTAAGCGCTTCAGTCGTGTCGAAACATCGCACCAGAAGTGAAGCAAGCAGTACCGAAGCAAACGCGAGTCAACCCTCGGAGGTTGAGAGGTTGCTGGAGGTTACGCGAAAGTCAAAGGTCAAGCGACCTTTGACCTGACAAGTACAGCGCGACAGTTAAGGACACACAACTGACTCGTTACAGAGCAGTTGCCCGAGTCGTATTGTATCGAACCGCAACAGCAACAGTAAAAGTAGTTACAACTGCATCCATTCATATTCCTTGTATCAATATATAATCTTGTACTTCTTCAATATAATCAATCTACTTTGCCCTCACATACTAGCGCAAGGTGGTTCACAATCCTTCATTAAGCTTCCGCTGTTACAACATTATCCTACCCAGAGTTCTCCCCTGAAAAGATCCTAAGGGGCTATCTCAGCCCAACAGCGTTGTCGCGGTTAAGCGTCGAGTTCGCCTGAGCCATATTAGCTAAGTTGCGCTGAAGGATATCGTTAAGGAGCGTTGTCGGCGCTGTGAAGCGCGGAAGGGATTGTGTCTTCGCCAGAGTGACGAGAACGAGAAATTAGAACTAGAAATTGAGAAATGAAAACGTGGGTGGGGACGAATGTCCCCACGTCCCTCTTTTGTAGGCAAAAGAGGGTGAGTAGCGCTTCGGCGCTACCTTTGCTGTGTTGGCCACGTACCCCTTTTCACAATACAAAATTTTAGAAAGTGTTACATTTCATTACACTTTCAAAAATTATCATATCTTGTTCTCTTTCAACCATTACAAACAAGGTCATTGCAAAGACTTCATTGTCTTCTCCCAGACGGCGTATTCCTACGGCCTCCTATCAAGAAACCTCCTATCAAGATTGTACCTTTTGCCTGGTAAAAGTAGCGAGAGGTTTTGGGTTTAGGGGATTTTTCAGTGTGAACTTGATAGGAGGTTTTCTTGATAGGAGGATAGGAGGATAGGAGGTTTTCTTGATAGGAGACTTATTTTATCCACTTCGATTCCTTGGCTATATCAGCAAATTCTAGCCAGACCTGTACTTTCAGGGGTACTGGAACTAACATTCTTAAATAAAAATGTACAACTATAACCAACCCCACAGAACACAAACAAAGCTAATTACATGACCAACCAACTCACACCAGAATCAACCAAAAGCAGCCAGAAAACAAGCACTATCATCCCCCCAACGCATGTGATGCTTGGAGTGCCTGCCCCATTGTAAGGCTTGCCTTGGCCGAAGGGTCAAACCTTTCCTCTCCATCCTCCCTTCCAGAAGCAACTAAGCAGGGCGGTCCTGATGCACACAAATTCACACCTTCGGCCTCTTGACCCACTGTACCAATTATTCGAAGAAAACAGAGCTGGAAGACTAGGTGATGGGATGATAGAAGTGGCTGTTGGGATGACGGGACTAGCTGAAGCGGGCCAGCATGGCAGAGATGAGACTGGTCATCACAAGAGTGGATGTGCCTCGCTGCCGTTCTGAGGGCACCTTGTCTGTTGAGGGGAGGGACGAACAAGGGGATGAACGGTTAAGGGTCAAGCTGAAGGTGTGGAAAAGCAATGGTGAAGGAGTGCTTGGGGAGGTGGGGAAGGGAAGAGGGGTGGCGGAAGTGGTGGGGAAGGGAAGAGGGATGGCGGAAGAGGTGGGAAAGGGAAGGGGGATGGCAGAAGAGGTGGGGAGGGGAAGGGGGTGGGAGGGAAAGAGAGAAATATACTTGGGTTGAGTTTTAGAAAACGAGAGATGGCAGTACGATGGGTCAATTAGCATTGATTCCTCAACCAGCAGACCTCAAAGCCGTGGAACTCACCAAGACAGTTGGAAAAGTCTACCACCCCCACGAAGAGAAGCAGTACCAGCAATCTGCAAAGGAGTTGGGGAGAAAGAACGTGGAGGGGCGAGTCACGAATAGTGAGACCAGGGGTGGGTTAAAGTAGAAAGAAACATTTCTTCTAACAGCTGAGTAGGACAATGAAACTGTAACACACAAAACGGAGATAAGATTGGACAAAAAGAGAGCTTCAGGCAGGAGGTGCAGCGGGCGGATTGATCAAGAAACGAGAAAAAAGGATGCACAATGAGGCGTGAGAAAACTCTGCAACAACAGGAGCTACTATCACCCGCTAGAGGCAGGACAAGAGCACACAGCCAAGCGCACGTGATGACAGGTGCACGCTCTAGATAAAAGAGGCTGCGGCATAGAAGCACAGAAGCAGCCACTGAACACAGATGCAAAACTCCCAGCATCTACACAAGCACGTATCCGGCCAATGTCACACACACAAGACGACAGTCCAAAAGTGCTGCCACAGTGCTGGTTCGCACCACAGCTATTCATGTCGCATGTCACTGGGTGGGGTTAGAGCCAGCACTGGAAACGCATGACAGTAGTGATGGCATGGCAGTGGGGGCAGCACAGCAGCACTTGAAGGTAGCATGACTCACTATCCTCGCAGTAGTTGCCGTTCCACGTGGTGCTCGGTTCACAGTTGATCACGTTGACGCACGCGCTGCCATCCCACTCAGTGCCCCAGTCACACCGGATGGTGAGTATGCATGTGCTGCCATCCCACGAGTAACCGTAGTTACACAGGTTGACGCACCCACTGCCATCCTACATGTAACCCCAGTCGCACGCGCTGATGCACGAGTAGCCATCCCACTTGAAACCCGGGTCACACGCAGGTTGGCTGCCGATGCACGTCCTGCCATCCGACTGCAACTCAAAACCCGGGTCACACACACAGGTAGCCGCGTTATCACCAGGAACACACTAGCTGTTGGCACCACAGCTCTGGATCTCACAGACACCTGGGTGGGGGGAGAGGAAGAAAAGAAAGAGAGGAGGGGTGGAGGGGACATGAAATTAGAAGGAATCTCAGCAGCACACAGAGTAGCACGCAGAATCA